ATACACATCTTATCCATAGTAAAATCACCAACACATATATTGTATTTGTTAATCAAGAATATATATACTGCTCATTGTGCTGCTACTTCTTCTGAGTCAGCAGTAGTTCTGCTTCACCACCATTAAACAAAAAATACCTCATTCACCCTACATTCTAATATAAACACAAGAACTACACTTAACTGCATCAACCACAAAATATGTAGGCTTAGGAAAGTCAAGACAATCAGTGATCTGAACCAACAGTGGTCGAAAAGGAATACTAACTTTTTCACAACATAAAGAAGCCATAACCTGAAATGGCCACATTATCATATTTTAGTGCAGGAAAACATGGCAATCACAGCAAAATGGCAACCCATCAGTAACAATAATCTATGAATATAACCTTAGTTAGAAATCACAGAAAGAAAATTGAGCTTATGAGTTTGGGAAAAAACACCATGAAGTATGGCTCTTCAACACATCATGAAAAGTGTACATCGGAAGATAGTGTATATAGCTTACATGGTTTTCAATTGAAATATTCATTTAATTCAGTTTTCTACCAACAATCCAAGCCTTAACAATAGTAAGCATAAGTCAAAGAATAACAATGGAGTTCATGACTATGGAAAAAAGAATGTCACTTAAAATAGAAACATCCAAGTTCTTGTTATGCTATAACCAATGCTCAAAGTTCAGGAAGTACTCTAAGACAACAACCAAAAAATGTACTCAACCAAAAAAATCGAACTACTTAAATCGAACGAAATCTGCAAAAAATAATTAAAAAAAAACGCATAGAAATCACAAAAATCAGGAAAAAAATATATAAAATAAAATCGATGGAATTGGCATATAAAATCGCACAAAAGTTAGTCGAAAATCGCCCAAAAAATCATCAAAATCTTTAAAAATATTGGAGTATAAATTACCATTGCATTTCAGAACAAATTTCTGTACGAATTAATTGTTCTTCGCCAACCTCCATTCCAAATTTTCTTCAATTTGTTCTTCCGCCAAATTAGGGTTAGTATTTGCAAAAATTCTAATTAAATTTCCCAATTCAACTTATTTTATATAAGTTTATGAATAAAATTTGTTGAATTTGAGCAAAAATCAAAAGGAATCGATGTGATTTGCTTTGATTTGGAGAAGTTACAATGCATTTTAGAGAAAATTTGGTGGTTTTAAGAGAGAAGATGAAGGAAAGTGTGAAAGTGTTTGATGAGAGAGAAAATCAGATATTTTGGGTAAAATATGAAGTTGGGCAGTTTCATTATTTACACTAATGTCATTACTTGTTCTCCGTTAATCTTAACCGTCTACTTTAATCTAATCCTACGGCTTAGATTTGTTCTCATATATTAGGAGTGTTCTCACATAAAGGGTGGTTCTCACCGGATCCCGACCCTATATATATACATATATATATATAAAAATTTTATTACCAAAGAATAACAGTTACAACTTACAAAATTAGCTTAGCTGTAACCCCACACTACACAAGCCCTAAGGCAAACACACACCCAAACACCCACAAACTGTTTAAAGGCCACCTTCTAGGAAGGGTTCCTAAAACAGAAAGGGGTAAAACCAAACCTGGACTCAAGTAAAAAGGCACCTTCTAGGAAGGGTACTCTTTACACGGACCAGGACAACAAACCACAACAACCATCAACGAAATTACACAAATAGGACAACTATAAGCATGCTAATAGCTTCCTGTACACATCACAGCAACACAGCAGCACTACAGCAGGTGGCAACATCAGTAATAAACAACAGGCACCAGCAGCAGCCACACCAAAACCAGCAACACACCAGCAACATGCAACTCAGCAACAACAGCAGCGACAGGCAAGCACACAAACAAACAGAAACATACAACACCAAAACCCAGCCACAAAAACACAAGGGCTACATAAACCAACCAACCAGCACCAACATAAAAGAGCAACCTGGCAACAGAAGCAGCAACCAGAAGCAAACAACCCCTGCAGCAAAACAGGAACCAGCAATAACAGAGAAACACAACATCAAAGTGCAGCAGCTCGGAGCAGAACAGGGCAACATGAGAACCCAACCCTGCAGCAGAACAGGAACCAACAACAACAACAGCTACAGAGCAACTCCCAGCCACACCAACTAAGGAACACAGACTCACCTACTATCAACAAGCTGCTGGACCCTTAAAATGACCTCCAAGCACAAGATTCTGCATAACTTCGTAGGGTGCACCAAAGCCTTCTTCCAGAAGACATTATTCCTAGCTAACCACAAGTAATAGACCATAGTAGAGAGGACAGTAAGCAAAACTTTCTTCCTTACACGATCTTTTCCAATTCTCAACCAATGCTTCCAAGTATGAGCTCCACTGTAGTGTATCTCAGTAAAGCAAAGCCAAGAGCTAACAATATCTAAGCATGCTCTACTATATTGACATTCAAAGAACAAGTGATCATGCTTTTCAATACTCATGTCACACAATAAACACCTGCCAGTCACACAGGCACCATACCTTACTAGTTTATCTCTTTTTCTGAGCTTCCCTTGCACAACCATCTAAGTAATGAAAGAGTGTCTGGGAACATTAAATTTTTTCCACACCCATTTACACCAACCAACCTTATCCTGTTCCCCTTGTAACTAAGAAACTTTCCTTCAAATCATCCTTAACAGAACACAGCTTCTTCCAAGCCCACCTATCACTTCTTTTGCGGGTGTAATCCCACCAATCAGCTTCTTTCAAGTAGATGCTATGGACCCACTTAACCCAAAGAGAGTCCTCCTTTTTTGCAATCTTCTAAACATATTTACCCAAAGCAGCTTTGTTCCAAGAACTACAATCTCTAATACCCAAAACTCCATGCTTTTTAGCTTTACAAATCCAATCCCAGGCCACAGGAGGAGTTCTACCAAGGACAAAAGATCCACACCATAAGAAAGCTCTACAGATTTGCACCATTCTTTGAATCACACCCTTAGGAAGAAGATGACATTGAGCCTGTAGGAATGAAGACTAATAAGCAGAGAATTAATGAGAGTTATTCTGGCCCTGTAGGACAAGTTCCTACTTTCCCAACAAGTCAGTCTAGCAATCATCTTATCAATAATGCTGTCAAAATTAGAAATCCTGAGATACTTAGCATTAAGAGGAATGCCAAGATATTTGAAAGGAAATTTACCAAATGTGAATCTAGAGCAAGCCAACATCTCAGAGTGTCTGTCCTCCACAACACTACCAAAATAGAATGCAAAGAATTTGCCTCCAGACTAGACACCAACTCAAAAGTCTTTAAAGCTCTAATAAGCAATAACATAGTATGAGTATCACCAAGCCCAAACATCATCAAATCATCAGCAAACACCAGGTGAGTCAACTGCATATGTTTACATCCTTGATGAAATTTAAAGTGCCTTAGTTTGCCAACTTTCTTAAGTAATCTTGATAGATACTCCATCACTATAACAAACAGAAGAGGAGAAACAGGATCCCCCTGTCTAATACCCTTCTGACCCTTAAAAAATCCTTGCACACCTCCATTAATCATTAGAGAGAAAGAAGGAGTGGAGACACATTCCATGACTAGCCAATAAACCTACTAGGAAAATTCAAAGCTTCCAGCATATCTCTAATAAAGGACCATAAAATTGAGTCATAAGGTTTCCTTAGGTCCACTTTAATTGCACACCTAGGACCTTTCCTCTTGTTATTAAGTTCTTGAGCATATCCTGACAAACGAGAATATAATCCAAAATGGACCTACCCCCCACAAAAGCACCCTGATTTCACTAATTAAATCAGGCAACACCTCCTTCAGCCTATAGCAGAGAAGCTTAGAAATAAGTTTATACACAACATTGCAACAAGCAATAGGTCTATATTGAGAAACATGAGAAGCATCCTCTACCTTTGGAACCATGGTCAAGAGAGTGACATTAACTTGTTTAAGAAGACAACCATGATCAAAGATAGATAAGACAGCTTTACATGAATCATCCTTGACAATATCCCAAGAAGCTTTGACAAACTTACTTGAGAAACCATCTGGTCCCGGGGCCTTATCATCATCGATACTCCAAAGGGCATGGTTCACATCCTCTACAGAGAAAGCTCTACACAGATTATTCTTCTGAATATCAGATAACAAACTACCCTCTTCAATAATAGCCTGATGCAACTTCCTTTCAGCAGGTTTACTAGAACCCAGTAGCTCCTTATAATAGTCAATAAAAGTAGAGACCACAGCTTCAGGTTCATGAGCCAAAATCCCATCTTTGTCCACAATACCACAAATCCTATTGTGCATTCTTCTTTTCTTGATAAAAGCATGAAAGTACTCTGTGTTCAAATCTGCCTCCTTCAACTAGTAAAGCTTAGCTTTCTGCCTAAGAAACTTGTATCTAGCAGCATGAGCATAATTATACCTCTCTCTAGCCTGTATCTCCTACTCAATTAGAGCTTCATTTTGTGGATCTTTATTAAGCCTCTCTTGAACCTGCATCAGGATCTTGGCTGCCAAAGCATCCTCATTCTCAACATTCAAAAAGTTGGTTAAGTTTTGCCTCTTCAACTCCACTTTAACAGCTCGCAGCTTCTTTACGAGCTGAAACATATCAGTTCCATACACAGAACACTCCCCCTTATTCACCACATCTCTAAACCTAGGATCATCAACCTAGTGGTTAAAGAACTTAAAAGTCTTAAGGATCTTTTCTTTCTGGCCAAACATCTTCACACAACATGGAGTATGGTCCATCAAACCCTCAGGCAAGAACGTAGCAGAAGCACTATCATGATGATCCAACCATTGATTATTGACTAGAACCCTATCTATCTTAGAGCACACTCTCCCTTCACCACTTTGTTTATTGTTCCAGGTATAAAACAAACCACCAACTTTAAAATCAATCAAGCCAGAGTTATGTAAACACTCTATGAAGGCCTCCACTTCAGCAAAAGTACAACTCGAGCCAACTTTGTCCTCTAAAATGAGTATATTATTAAAATCGCCAAATACCATCCATAGACTTGAAATTCAAGTGGATATCTCAACTAGCTGCTGCCACAAATCAACCCTCCTACTAAGCTCATTAAAGCCATAAACAGTAGTGCAGCAGAAAACAGTACCAGAAGCTCTTTGGGTAACCTTCACATGAATCAGTTGCACCTCAATCCTGAGAACAGTTACTTGAAAAATCCCAGGCAACCACATCAACCAAATCCTACCTCTATCATTCTTCCCATAATGAGCCACTACTGACCAATCCCTACCAAAACTGCTAAACACCTCACCAAACTTCTTACTCTTATCTTTAGTTTCCAAGAGACTAAATAAACCCAAGGTATAATGTCTAAGGAACCAAGACACATCACACCTTTTACTGAGCTTATTCAATCCCCTAATTTTCCAGAAACCAATATTATCCATTCAGTACAAAAGAACACTCCCCCTCCTCCATACCTCTATATAACACCTGACCTTCATTGATACAACACAGCCTTCCACTTCTGTTCCTGTTTTTATCAATCTGCTGTCCTATGTCATTATTTTGTTCAAGCTCTGAATTAAGGCACTCAAACCTGTTACCAGTATAAACATTAACCTGAATACCCTCACCCTCCTCCTTCTGTTTCACCCCTTCTCTTCACAGGCTGCCACACCTTAGTCACCCTATGTTTGTTCTACTTATCCTTCCCTGCCATATCTCTTTTGTTAACCCAATGATTTGGGCATTTTGCACTCTCATGACCAAGACCACCGCAAGTCTTGCATTGAACAAGCTTCCATTCATAGCACTTTTTGAGATATTACATTCCCCTTTTCATCTTCAAATTCAATTACCTCAGGGAATTCACCATCTATGGATACACTGACCATCAATCTAGCATATTCAACCATATCCTTATGTTGAATGTGTTCTGTTTGAGTAGGATCTACTAGGTAAAAGAGTAATATTCTTGGTTCTTTTAGTGATTCTCTTTTCAACTTGAAGAGGATAATCTCTCTATATATATGGGCCATTTTTTAGTTATTTATTTTTATTTCCATAGTCTTATCATTATCCATTATCTCACTTATGCATTGTGTTTTTTTTTTTTTTTTTTTTTTTTTTTTTTTTGCATCAGATTATATTCAAAGTTTTTATCAATTAGCTTGAGTTGTTTGTGGTTGCTTTGTGGTCAGGAATTCATGATGTTGTTTCAAGTGCTTGGCCTGGGCAGATGAAGAACCCGAAATAGCTAGTGGGAAATTTAGCAAGAGTGCTTATAACCAGTGTAATGCTAACAATATCACCTGCATTTTGATAAGGTTCCACTGTGACTACGCTAGTGGGCCCCAGATTGAGCAGCAGAAGCCACTTGAATTCCATCAAGACATAAGTGCGGAACCCGTTAAACTGGTGAGAGTTTATTTTAAGCATGACATTCTTATTCTTTATGTGCTATGGTTGATTTCTCCTTTAGCGGTTTGTAACTACTGTCACTTTAGATAAAGTATTGATTAGTCTTGTTGGCTTTTTTTACAAAGTACCATATGGTTATTTGGTGAATTAGTGAGTTAATTTAATGAATAAGTGAGTTGGTTATTGATTTATTGAGTTATACCGGTTATTTAATTTGCTTTCAGTTTCTTAGCTGTTTAAGATAATGAAGAAATTGTTTATTTTTTGTTTTTTTACCTGTATTCCCCAATTTAATGCCGATTAATCTTTGATTTTTGTCAATTTTTTCCCTTTCTTTCAATTAGTATGCGTTAATCTTCAAATGTAGATTCTGAAATTGTGGAATTATTGATTTGCTATCTGGGTCATAGTAATTGAGGCTAGGACGAAGGGTGATAAGGAATATAAATTAAATTAAGAGATGGGATTGAATTGTCTTAAACTTCAGTAGCATCTTAAATCAGAATTGGAGAATATAACACACCTTTTTTGGGTAAATCGCTGCAATTTAGGTGGTTCTTTGAGTAATCGGCCTTTATTTGATTAATCTCAACATTCAATGCCGCAATTGATGTTCTACTATTGGTTTGATTTTTTGTCGTTTCAGCTTTCTGTACAAACATCCAATTTAACAATTTTAAATTCATTCTAGAGGAACCTTGAAACAAAAACAAAAGAAAAAGCTTTGGTGTTGGGTAATGAGAGGAATAGAAAGTAACAAAGAAAGAGAATGAGGAGAGAGAGAAGAGTCATGGAGATGTGAAGCAAGTGAATGGCAATGAGGAAAATTTGGAAAAGAGGTAATATTGCTTCAATTGGATGGGTTTTTTTTTTTTTTTTTTTTTTTTTTTTTTGTATGGCTTTTTTGGCGAAGATTTTTATCGATTCCATGTAGTACTAAATTTCGTAATATTGTTAAGATGTTTCTATGCATTCTGAAAACTTTTAGTGGGTAATACACTAATACTTCAAAATGTAGTAGCATTTTCTTCTTTTTAATCTATTTTCTTGTTAGCCTATAAGAATCTTGCTTGTTTGATTGTTTCTCATGCCTTTTGAACTGTTGTATATTGTGGTCAGTTTGAGGCCATTGCCTGGGCCTATGGATAGAAAAGCCACTAGAGTGCGACTGTATACCTGGTTGTGAGAAAGAACCAATTTTGCATATTCATTGATATCACCAAAAAATTCTTGGATATATTAGATCAGAACATCCTTATATTATTTCAATTTGTATTTGTTGATCAAGTGGAAATCAAGTGTATTTAACATTCCTTTTGGAGATCATAAATTACAAGTGGATCTAAAATTGTAGGAATTCTAATCTTCAATCGATAAATGTTCAGTGAGTATTGGGGATCTTCATTGCTCCAGCAAAATTTTCTGTTCATCAAAAGCTGACATCTGGCGTTAAACTGGAGTTTTACTATAGCCTGGTCCTTGCGTTTTCTTATTTGAGAAAGTTTCTTCTTAATTGTAACTACAACCACAAAATTCCCCTATTTTGATCAAATCCTAGGTTCTCTCTCCTCATTACTCAATTGAGTTTCCAATGTCAATTCTTGAATTAAACCCAAGAAATCATTCTTAGTTCTTGGATCTTGTGTCTGATTGTATTCTCGTCAACTTTTTTCAGGTATTAAATTTCAGCAACAATGGTTTGAATTCGAATCGAGGAGCGACTGCTTCGAACTTTAATTGCTTTTGGGCCGATTAATTAAGGCTTTATGTGGGCCGCTGCTTGTGTTAATCGCTTCTGGTGGCTGGTTGTTTGCGATGGAGGCGTGGATGGAAGCAAGTTGTTGGTGGTTATAAGGTGATGGTGGTGCAATTGGGCATCACTTTAAGGGAGTTAGGGCTGCTGGTGTGAGTTGTTGTCATTGGTTTGTGGGTGGTGACGTGGTTGAGAATTGGGTGTAGTTGATTGTTGCGATTTTGGGTGTGTGAGGGAAGTTAGAGTTTAGGCGGCTGATTGGCTGATGCGCGGTGGCTCGATTGAGAGTTGGGGTAGCAAGGGGGAAGCGTGGTAAGTCACCAAATGCGAGCTTGAGGATGAATTTCGAGATTATGGTGTTCTTTGCAATTATGAAGTTATAAAATCAATTTTGGTGGTAGAATTGTTAGTTCCATGGTTCATTGCTAGATTTTGGCAAGAGTAATTTTCTTGTCTACTCTTTTTTTTTTTTTTTTTTTTTGGGCATATTTTTTCTATGTGATTTGATATTTTACAGATTTAGATAGTAGATATTAGATATGAACTACTCTTTATCTTTTTCTATATATTTTAAAGATTTCATTTTCTTTCGGGTATTATGAATCATAACTTTTTTACATCTTTAATTGTTTTTCAAAAACTTCTAAAATAGAGAACTGAGGTGTATATGAAGAACGTCTCTTCAATATATTTCTTGATTATTTATGTTGGCAGGAGTAGTTTTCTTGTTAACTTTGTTTTTTGTGCATATTTTTTCTATGTGATACGATATTTTACAAATTTAGATAGTAGATAGTAGATTCGAAATACTCTTGTATCTTTTTTTTTTTTTTTTTTTTTTTTTTTTTGGAGGGAAGTACTCTGTATCTTTTTCTATATATTTTACAGATTTCATTTTTTATGGGTATTATGAATCATAATTTTTTTACATCTTTAATTGCTTTTCAATGCCTTCTAAAATAGAGAACTGAGGTTTATACAAAGAATGTTTCTTCAATATATTTCTTGACTGTTACAGATAAAAAAATTTATTCTCCTTGGGGATATTTATAAAAGCATATATTTTCTCAACTGGAAGAAACAAGGTTCTCAACTTAGCTTGTTAGCAAAAGATTTTGGGTCATTTGATTGTTTTTCAACCGAGTTCCCGATCGATGGAAGTACACTAAGCCTTGTAGTTACAGATGAACAGAAAAATGTTCAGGTTAGCACTTTCCTATGGTTTTTTAAAATTTATGTAGCAGTTGGAATGGAAATAGAGACAGAAGTGGAACAGTGGAAGAATGTAGCAGCGCCAGACTAACTTGATGGGGAATAAATGAATAATAATGAGATGGTAACCTATAGGTGGTTTTTTTTTTTTAATCTAATATTATATACAAGTTTGTCCATGGCCGCCTTCTATGTTAGTTATGAAAAGGAACAAATTTATCATATAGTATTTTTTTTTCTTCAACAATGTCTTTCACTTAGGCAAAGCAATTGATTAGTTGAAATGGGTTTGTACATTTCTATATTGTGAAAATATGATTGGTTCTTTGCACTTAATCTGCTGTCTTATGGTCTACAGTCTCATAATGACTTAATGTGCAGTGGTTTGTGTAATGGATTCATGCTTAATTTTATTTTATTTTATTTTTTTTAGCAAGGGCTATTTTAGGAGGGGCCTATGGCTTGAATTTTGAAAATCTTTCCTTAAAAGTAAAAAGGATCTTGACAATTCAAAAGAATAAGGCAAGGGCTAGGACAGGCCATGGGAGTTTTTGAGGAACCGCCCTCAATCCATCATCATCAACAACAATAATCATAGTACTGGCTTGTGAATTACTGATAATTAGATGGTGCCGGTTGTGATAATTTGAGGCAATTATATTATACAACAATGAGCTCATGTCACTGTCTTATGCATAATTAACTAAGGGATATATGCATGATTAACTAAGGGATAAAACAAAGGTCTAGTTGACCCTACTATTTGTACAACTATTGGTATTGTAGCCTTTGGGGGAGCATGTCTCAATGAGGGTTAAGTAGCTACAAATTGATTAGTGTCACCTGACTTATAACTAATATATAGTTCTAATAATTCTTCTTGCGTTAAGATAGTACATACAAAACCAATGCTCTGATAAATCTGTTACAATCTGATTTCAAGCTGCTATTAAACTGTGGTTTTTTAAAACTTTGTTTGAATTAAGTTGTACCCTCAATTAGTTTTCATGCATTGCACGAGTTCTAGACCAGTAACACTTTGAAATTACAATTTCTGAATATGGGTTGTATAATGTTGATTTAGTGTTCATGCATTGCATGAGTTCCAAACTAGTAACACCTTGAAAGCACAATTTTATTCATGATTTTTTTAACAAAAAAAAAAAAATACATTTTAATAGACTTTATTGTTTTACATTCGGCGTTACATATTGTGATACAGAAAAATAATCCTAATTTAAAGTCTTGTATGTGATTTTATGTTTATGGAGTAAAGATTATACGCACGGGATGAATGCTATATCTTTCAACAAACATGTACAACATCCTTTTTAAAGGAGTACACAAATAGTTAGGGTGATTAAGATAATCTGTATTGTTTCAAAAAAAAAAAAAAAAAATAAAAAAAAGATAATTAGCATGAAAAGTCTAATCTTGATAAAACAATTTAGATTATACCATTGACCATCTTTTTTTTCGTTTCTTCATTTGGTCTACATTTTTAGTAAAATTCATCAAATCTTTATACTCATGCACTTAATGTTTTCCATTTTATTTCACAAAATTGGAATCTTTAAGTAATCAACAACTAAATGACAAACCAATCTACATTATACCATTGACCATCTTTTTATTGTTTCTTCATTTAGTCTATATATAATTATAAAAGTTCATCCAATCTTTATGCTCGTACATTAATGTTTCCGCTTAATTTCACACAATTGGGGGGGGGGGGGGGCGCCCGTGTTGCAGGCGCTCACACAACTAGTAACGTACAAGTATATGGGTATGTTACTTATGTATCAGCAAATACATAACGAGGGGTAATTCAGACATTTTACAATTATTTAAAGTTCGTACTCTTTCCGTTTCATATTAATCACAATATTTTCCTTTTTCATCTATTTCATAATAATTGCAACACTTCTATATTTGGAAAGGACCCACCATTATTTTATAAGTTCTCTCTGCCACAAACCCCACTTTCACAAATATTTTATTATTTATCTTTCCTATCAAACCCACTTATACTACTTTTTTTTATTATTTCTCCCTCCTATCAACAATACTTTATATTATTAAAAATCCTCTTTTGGGCCCTACCCTATAAATTTTCTTAAACTTTGCGAACACCCTAATGTTGCGATTAATACGAAACAGAGGAACTAGGTATTTAAACTATAAAGTTGTTGAGAAAAATACAAAGTTGATTGAAATTCACATGCATGTACCTTTAATTGGTTAATGCAATACAACCTAATACAACACTAAGTACAATAATATTAGTTTTAATATTGTAAAATTTTGCCTATAAAGGGGCAAGTTCACAATTGTGTACCGATACAGTGGAAAATATAATTCAACTACACAATACTTTAATCTCAATTTCTAATTCTTTACTTGTTTATCTAAATCTATCGATAAAGTTTTTAACACGTTATCAACACTAATTTCTAGGCAGGTATATTTATACCTATTTCTCAAAACGGTTATTTCATCAAATACCCCTGAGTAATTCGATCATTCACAATATACCGACAAAACTTTTCAAATACACCATATACCCCCGAGTTTAATAACAATGTCACGAAATGCCCAAAGGACTAATGGACGTCAACTCTGTTAGTCATTAAGGCTTAACTGTGCCACGTGGCAATTTCTAATTGGTTTTCTTTTAAATTCTTTAATTAATTATTTACTTAAATTATTTAAAAAAAACTTTAAAAAAAAAAAAAAAAAACCACCACCCCTTAGCCCAGCCACCTCCGGCCTGGCCCCCACAACCGCCACCTGGTTGAGCCTCCCGTCGTCGGTGCCGAGACCCTCCTCCTTACCGCGCCGGCACCGGTCCTTCCCCTACCGTGTCGGTGCCTGCCTCCTCCCTTGAACCGCCATTAACCCTTAACATCCTCTCCCCTAATAGCCCTTCCACCTTAGCTGAACCCACCACCCCAAAATCCCTCGCCGACGGCCCATACCCCCTTCCCCCATGTCGCCGATGGCCCGGACCCCTTTCCCCCACGCACCGCTACCCACATTAGCCAAAAACCACCAGCCCGAAATCCTAAAGTACCAAAATCGAAACCCTAGATGTTGGTTTTTAGATTTCGATTTTGGTTTTAAGACATCATCGTGCTGGTTCAAGGAGAAAGGGGGCGGAGATTGTTTAGGGAGGGGCGAATTAAGTTCGCCGGCGCAGGGGAGGGAGTGTGAGCGCCAGCGAGTGGTGATAGATGGTTTTTCGGAGGAGGGAGGTGGTTATTGGGTAAAGAGGAAGGATGGTTAAGGGGAAGGTGAGGGGAGAGGCGACAATGACAACTGAGGGTTCGGGGTGGCATTGCCGGCACAGGGTTTTAGGGGCAAAATGCGCCGGCACAGGGTTTTAGGGGAAAAATGCGCCGACAGGGGGTGACGGTGGTGGGGGTAGGGTGGCAGTACGGTGGTTGGGGTTTATTAATTTATTATTTTTTTTATTTTTTATATTTTTGAATAATTAAACAAATAATCATTTAAAAAATTAATAATTTGAAAAGAAAACCAATCAGAAGGCTCCACATGGCATAATTAGCCTTAATGACTAAATAGAGTTAATCGCCGTTAGTCATTAAGGGTATTTGATGACATTGTTGTTAAACTCAGGGGTATATGGTGTATTTGGAAAGTTTCATGGGTATATTGTGAATTATTGAATTACTCAGGGGTATTTGGTGAAATAACCGTTCTCAAAATTTATAACAAATAATATTATCTACTTTTAGATGTTTTGAAGAGTATGCTCTAGATTTTCCCATATTTGGGATCCGCTATACCAGAAACTCAAACATTTACTATATTATATACTGTGCAAATATCACCGTATCTTAAAAACAATGGTGATGGGTTCCTTTACGTATGATATTGTTATTTTTCCTTACACAAACTCCAAGTGTTTGTGTGGCACTCCTTTTTCTCTTCCCTTCTCTTTCTCTCTCCCTTGCTCCTTTTTTTCTAGATCAAAATCAAAATCAAAATAAAAAATTCTATCAATTTCATAAAACAATCATAATTAATCCAAAGGGGAGGGGGTATTGTTTCGAAATTTGCTATTGAATCAAGAATATCACAACATTGAAAGTTGTTGGAACTTGGAAGCCTGTTGAAGAAATTCTCCACGTTTACTGGGTCTGGTGCCTGCAGTATCACCCCATCCTTTCTCAAAACCCCACTCCTTCAATCTGTTAAAAACATTGGTATTTAGTCTTGGTGGAGGAGGAGGCGGTGGCGACGGTGACGGCGGAGGAAAGAATTGCGATCTCTGGTGGTAGAGGAGGAGGCGGCGGCGACATATCCTTGGTAGTGGCGTTTGCTACTTGGTTTGCATGGTTGGGCACTCCGCCTGGTTGCGCGGTTGGCCTTGGTTGCGGCCGGGCTCCGGTAGGAAGGAGAGAGGGTCGGTGGCCGGATTGATTTGAGGAGGAAAGGGTAGTGGGAACGAAGGAGAAGGAGAGGGAGTGAGGGATGGCGTGATTGAGGAGCTGCTAATAGGAGAGAGAGAGAAAGAGAGGAAGAGGAAGAGGGGGACAGAGGAGAGATAATGAAATAAAAATAGTTTGTACTTGTATTTAACGGGTGCCTAACCCGCGAACTTTTAAATTTAATTTTATTTTTAATGTTTATTTTTTCTAGTTTTCAATTAATACCTATTTATTAGGTAAAATAAAAATGCGGAGTACTACTCCGTAGTAGTTTTCTCTCTCCTAATCTCATCCATCTAAACTTTCCTTCTCTATTCTCAAAAGTCAGACAACTTCTATTCTCAAAACAATTGCATTCAATTGAGACCACTCCTTTTTTTTCCCTCAAAAGTCACGCATAAATCCTCCTCTCTCCTATTTCCATCCATCTTCTTTCTCTTTCCTCTTTTCCTAGTGACCTCTCTCCTTCATCCTATATCTACTCCCCAATTCAAGCTTATAGGACTCAAATGATGCCATAACTTTTCATTCGAATTCGTTTAAAGTGAGTACTTTGGAGTTACAAACACACAACAATCACAAGCCTCACATCAAATCACCCCACTCACTATGTTCTTCTCTTTCTCTGCCATCTTCACCCCACAACAAGTCCATAATCGTTGGTCATGCTGCAAGCTTCTTTTTTTTTGGATTTTATTTCTTATGAATGGTTTTTAATCTAAAATTTTGAGAATTATTAATCTGTAAGTATTTTAAATCTTTGGAATGATAATTATGAGTTTATTTCTTACTATCCTATTGTTCTTTTAGGGTTAATAGTAGATACGTAGTACTAATAACAATAGATACGTAGTGTGAGGAGGGTAGCCCGTCGTTGGGGATCTCACTTCCTCTATGCCCATGGCCCTTTGAAAGCCTAGGACTTTACACTTTTGAAGGTTTACGTGTTACAATTTGAATTCCTGACTGTTTGGGAGACCTTGAATTAGAATTGATTCTATAATGACACTTTTTTGTAAGAAACTAATAAGGAGTTGCCAATGAGTTTTAGGAAAACTCATAAACCTCGTTCATGCCTTTCTCCCAATTAGGGTTAAAGGGATATTTGGCATGAATCATAAGTTTACCCATACCCAAATTGGTCTACTAAACAAGAAATGAGTTCGGGAGCGAGGGTACTAAGATAACGTTCCTTTTTGAGGGGAATTGCCATCCTAACCCTAGTGCGACCTCTACTAACTCTTCCTTTTCCACAATTTCATTACCAAATATTATATGCAATGCGATACCCAAAACTAAGTTAGCTGATTTTATTTACAAGCATTAATCACATAAAGATTACATTGCAATGACTGTCGTTATTCTTTGTTATTCAAATTCATAAAAAGAACAAGAAAAACAATATTCGCCTTGACTTAAGTGATAAAACAACAATTAATTATTCCAATTCTAGTCTTTAATCAACGCAAGATACTATGTTAAATTATTTAATTAAAAGTTTGTTTAAAGTGATCAAACAACACTAATTAATTGATTAAAGTTATTTAAACAAGAAAAGAGAAGTGATTTATCTAAGTGCTCAGGAAACTAACTATTCTCCTTTATTTGCTAGATCACCAATTTAGATATTTATGGACCTTCCTCCTTCTTCGTACCTCCAAGGACTTCAAAAAGAATGGATTAGGGTTGAAGAGTAGTTGGGAAGAGAGGGGAAAAGTAGTATAATAGTAAGAGGGTTTGAGAGATTGGTGATTTAAAAATTTGGGGTTTCAAATTCTGAATATTCTGTTGTGATTAGGGTTAACGAATACCCCTATTTATAGGCGTAGGAATCTAGGTTTAGGAATTTAAAGACGCAGCGTCGGTGGGGCGTGCAACTCTCAGAGTCGCGCTGGAGTGCCGAGCGCAACTCTAAGACTTGCGCACGGCAGGCGCGCGCAAGGTGCAGTTTGCCTTATACGAAAACGCGCTTTAAAACTTCCATAACTTTTGATTGCAAAGTCAGATTAAGGCAAATAAGATATCATTGAAAAGCTCTGAATTTCTAATTATCAATTCTGTTAGAGTTAGGTTAAAATCTATTGTGGATCAAAAGAT